ACAAGAGGGTAGTCTCCATGCTCACCTTTGACATCACCAGCTTTTTCGACAATATCCCCCACTCTCACTTAATTAGCACACTAAGAGCCTACCACATCCCACTCCCCACAGTAAAATGGGTCCTCAGTTTCCTCAAGGACAGAGAAGCGGCAATCTGCCTAGATGGAAAACAAGATCAACTAAGGCCCATTTTCACTGGCATCCTACAAGGCTCATGTGTCTCTCCTATTCTGGCAGCATACTTCATGTCCCCACTGGCGAAAGCTGTGGAAGGAGTCCAAACCAGGATTGCACAGAACACAGAGCTAAGCATGAAATTTAACAATGGCCTAATTTCCCCCATGCCCCTCACTCTCTATGTAGATGATGGATCCATATCAGCATCAGTGCCATCCAGAGAAGAATCCAGTGAAGTCATTAAGGCCGCTTTCCAGATAGTCCACAAGTGGCTCAGGGAAAGAGGCCTAAAGACCGATCCAGTCAAAAACGAACTCATGCACTTCACCCAAACCAGAACAGGCAGAAATGCTGGGCCCAGCCCATCCATCACCATCCCCTCACACATAAACGACGCTGATAAAACAGTCAACCCATCCAGCCTGATGAGATATCTAGGCATATGGTTTGACCCGCAACTCAAGTTCATGGAGCACATCAAGAGGATCACCTCCAAAGCGGCATCCACAGCCCAAGCCCTTCGTATGCTGGGCAACTCAGAGAGGTCTCCACCAGACCCATGTCCGGCACCTCTACCTGGGAGCGATACTGCCTATCGCACTTTACGGTCTACCAATATATTGGCACAAAAAATCTAAAATGATCATTAAACATCTTTCTATACTACAGAGCAAATGCTTGCATATGATTACAGGAGCATTTCGTACAACCAACACACAGGCAATGGAAATCGAAGCATCGATCCCACCTATCGACTTACTCCTCTAATACCGACTAAAGATGGAGGCAACACACCTGGCCCGACTCCCAGACAACCACCCAGTCACCAACCGCCTCTACCCGTGGCAGAGAAGGTTAACAACACCATTCACCATGCCACCACTACCGGTATTCAACCCCCACAGAAGATATCGAATAGACCCAAGGGACACGTTTTCAATGTGCATCACCTGCATCGGGGACCATATGATCCACGGCACAGAGAGGATCTGCCCACACAGTGAAGCCCCATGGCATATCTTGGAATTCGACATCGAAGACCATATCCAGATTTACCTACCAGAGAATGTTGCAGGTGAATCCGCCAAAGAGACATGGACAGACGACCACCTGGAATTCATGATGGAACACGAGGACGACCCAGACTTCCTCTTCGTGTACTCCGACGGATCCAAGTTCACAGAAGAAGGGCAGAGATACACGGGATTTGGAGTAGTGGGCTACTCAGCAGGAGAAACAGTATTCGAGAGGAATGGTTCTATGGGTGGCTATGTAGAAGCCTTTGACACAGATATGATGGGGCTGAGGACAGTGGCGGAAGAGACACGTCGCTTCATCGAAAATGACCTGAACACCCACAAGCCGTCAAACATAGTAATTTACTCAGACAACATGAGCGCGATCAGCCGCATCTTCCAAGAAAAGCCCAAGAGCACACCCGGACCTTTAGGAAGACAGTGTGCAGGCTCTTGGATGACATGGACGACCTCAAGGTCGTGATAAGCTGGTGCCCCAGCCACAGTGGTATCAAGGGCAACGAACGCACAGATGAGCTGGCCAAAGAGGGAGCTCACCTCAGCCTGGACAGACCCTGCTACCACTCATTATCCTTTGTAGAAAGGTTGCATAACATTGGGGCTGCGCCCCGAACCCCCCTGGGGCGTTGCCCCAGACCCCATTGGGGCTCCGCCCCATGCAACGTCATCCTTGTTATTATTGTTCCCCATGTGCTAAAGAAACAATGAGATACATGGCGACTATTTATGCACCAAGGGGCCAGCCCCTTGAACCCCTGCTCCTGCAGAGAGCTATTGGGGCATTGCCCCAAGCCCCACTCCTGCGGAGAGCCTGGGGCTGTGCCCCAAACCCCCCTGGATATATTTGATTATTTTTTACACCAAGGGGCCAGCCCCTTGAACCCCTGCTCCTGCAGAGGGCCATCAGGGCCTTGCCCCGAACCCCACTCCATTAGTCATGCACAGGAATGAGAAAAGCCTTTCCCCCCTCTTGGCAATGCACTGGGAGTGAGGCCCTTTTATTTGTTGTTTTTCTTGATTTTCTGGCCATTTCTCCAAATCCACCACCCCAACCACCTCCCATCACATGAAATTCCTTTGTAAGTTGATAAAACAGTGTTCCCCATGTTGCCATGAATTTTTTTCAATTTTATTTTATATAGCACACCTTCCTTTTATTTTTCTACCTTTTATTCTATGTTGTCCCATGTTGCCATGAATTTTCTGGATTTTATTTTATATAGAATATTGTGCTTTGATTTTTTTTAATGTTGTCCCACATTGCCACAATTTTTTCAGATTTTATTTTATACAGAACACCTTGTGTTGCCGTGAATTTTCTCCAATTTTACCTTATATGGAACCCTTCATTTGATTCTGCTCCGCATTTTTAGTATTCAATTTTATTTACCCATTTATTTTACATGCTAATAGCGAAATACAAAGAAAAAGAGAGAACAGTACTACTGTTTATAGTACATGCCAATTTCGAAAACATATATATAATAAATATATATTATATTATATCTACAATGAAGTCAGGTTGAATGTATTGTTTGAGAGTTAATTATATAAGCTTTTCCCGCGCTCAAGCCTGTTGGTGGCATCTTGCCATTGCGCTGGATAACCTGTGGTGTGACAATAATAACGAATGGAGAGGACGTTGGCATGAACCCATTGCAAAAAACTTCATGCGAAACGGTTGAAAACTGAGAGAGATATGGGGTGTGGCCCATGCCAGCGCGTGTTTTGAGTGTGGGAACAGTGTCCACGGCCTCATACAAGCTGTTTGATGACTAAGGTTAATAATACGGTATAGAGAGGCTGTTTGGACGAGCTCATTGAAAAAAACTTGACGAAAAACGAACAAGATTTGACAGAGATACGAATGTACATGTGTTTTTGTGTGAAAAAATGTGAAAAAACATCCCACCGCCTCATACACCCTCATTCGCAATGTACGCTAATAATATAAAATGACGAGGACGTAATTAAAACCATGTACGAAAAGAAACGACGAAAAACGAATGATAATTGACTGAGATACCAATGTACATGGTTTTTTTGTGAAAAAATGTAAAAACATGTCCTACCGCCTCATACGCGCTCATTCGCGGCTTGCACCAATAATAGAAAATGACCAGGGAGGTGGTCCGAGCCCATCAAAAGAAACCCGACGAAAAACGAATGGGAATTGACAGAGATACTAATGTACATGGTTTATTTGTGGAAAAATCGTGCTACTTCCTCATACACGCCAATTCACGACTTGCACTAACAATACCAAACGTAGAGAAAGTTGATCCGGGCCCATTAAAAAAAACCCGACGGAAAACGGTTAAGAACTGAGGGAGATACCAATCCAGTGTCAGCTCCGCGGCTGATCTGTGCGTGGGAAACGGTCCCCAGCACCCTACAGATGTTTTAAAAATATGGAAAAATACCAGGTACCTGCGTTAATACTATATAAAATGGTTCGCAAAATCTCAGGACATTCGGGCCAGTATCAAGCGAGATATAATAAATTATGTGATTAATTTCCACTTGGCACCCTCAAAATCGCATAATATCGAGTTGAGGTAATGATACAAATTGTAGAGGACATTAACACGCGCCCGTTAAAAAAAACCCGAAGAGAAACGAATAAGAACTGACAGAGATACAAATGTAGTGTCTGCTCTGCGCGTGGTCTGTGCGTGGGAAACGTCTTCCAGTGCCTCACGGCATGTTAAAAAAATATAAAAAAATGTTAAAAACTTGCGTTAATAATATATAAATTAGTACGCAAATTTATAAAACATTTGGTAAGGTATTAAGCGAGATATAAGAATAATACCATACAGTTTTGTGTGGGAAATAAGAAAATCGCCATAGTCTCCTCGGGATCGCCGAACGACGAGTCGGACTAATAATACAACATGTAGAGGACATCAAGACGCGCCCATTGGGAAAAACCCGACGAGAAACGGATGAGAACTGACAGAGATATGATAGGTTTATGTGAAAAATCACGTGTATATGTTTAGTTTGAGGAAATTCACGTGAGTAATTGAGTGTAACCTCCCACAACTTTGTTTGCGCACAGACATAAGCGAAAAAGTACTAATACCCCCACTCAAAACCGGTTTACACCCCCTCATGGGAGCAGTTCTTTTTTGTTCCCATGTGACTTTGGCATGTAAAATAGATAAAATAGATAGATAAATAGATAAAATAGGTAGATAAATAGGTCATAATAGTCGTAAATAATAATAATAATAATAATAATAATAATAGTAGTAGTAGTAGTAGTAGTATTTTTGTTGTATAAGTTATTGTTTTTTGTCGAAAATTGGCATGTACAATAAATGGTAGTATTGTTTTTTTTTGTGTTTTCGCTATTAGCATGTAAAATAGATAAATAAATAGGAAGTAAGTTGAAATCCGGAGTTTCCAACAACAGAACCAAATGAACTAAGGTTCCAGATAAGGTAAAAAATCCGAAAAAAATTCACGGCAATGTGGGACAACATGAAATAGAAACATCCAAAAATAAAACCAAGGTATCCTATATAGAATAAAATCTGAAAAAATTGCGGCAATGGGGGAAAGCCAAGAAAAATAATACCAAGGTATTCTATGCAAATTAAAATCCAGAAAATTCACGGCAACATGGGACAGTATAGAATAAAAATAAAAGTAAGGTGCTCTCTAAAATAAAATCAAAAAAATTCACGGAAACATGGGGAACACTGTTTTATAAACTTAGAAGGAATTTCATGTGATGGGGAGTGGTTGGGGTGGTGGGTTTGGAGAAATGGCCAGAAAATGAAGAAAAACAATGCAGGGGCCTCACTCCCAGTGGATTGGGGAAGGTGTTTCTCATTCCTGTGCATGGCTAATGGAGCGGGGTTTGGGGTGCAGCCCCAAGGCTCTCCGCAGGAGTGGGGTTTGGGGCAAGGCCCCGATGGCCCTCCGCAGGAGCAGGGGTTCAAGGGGCTGGCCCCTTGGTGTAAAAAATAATCAAATATGTCCAGGGGGGTTTGGGGCGCAGCCCCAGGCTCTCCGCAGGAGTGGGGCTTGGGGCAATGCCCCAAAAGCTCTCCGCAGGAGCAGGGGTTCAAGGGGCTGGCCCCTTGGTGCATAAATAATCACCATACATCTCATTATTTCTTTAGCACATGGGGAACAATAATAACAAGGATGTTGTTGCATGGGGCGGAGCCCCAATGGGGTCTGGGGCAACGCCCCAGGGGGGTTCGGGGCGCAGCCCCGATGCCCTCCGCAGGAGCTAGAGACCGCTAAACGCGTGGGTGTGCGAGGAACGAGCACCCCACGGGTTAAAGGTCTCTAGTCTATAATGAACTGAGGTTGAATGTATTGTTCTATTCAGTTTTTGTATTGTTCAATACAAATTAAATTCGTAAGCAATTCAGTTTTGCAAGCCGTGGGAGCTGTTCCAATGTTAACAATTGCACTAGATAACCTATCATGGTGTAATAATAGAAGATGGAGAGGACGTTTGAGCGATTCCATTGCAAAAGACCCCATGAAAAACGGTTGAAAACTGAGGGAGATACGAGTGGTGGCCCATGCCAGCGCGAGTTGTGTGTGTGGGAAACAGTGACCACGCCTCATACAGGCTGTTTGACGATGCGTGCTAATAATATTAGATGAGGAGATCGTTAATACAAGCTCATTGAAAAAAACCCGACGAAAAACGAATGAGATTTGACAGAGATATGCATGTACATGTCTTTTGTGTGTGAAAAAATGTGAAAAATCGTTCCACCGCCTCATAGACCCTCATTTGAGATGTACGACAATAATATAAAATAATAAGGACGTTAATACAAGCATGTAAAAAAAGAAACGACCAAAAACGAATGATAATTGACAGAGATACACATGAACATGCCTTTTATGTGTAAAAAAATGTAAAAACACGTCCTACTGCCTCATAAGCGCTTGCTCGCTCCTTGAACCAATAATATAAGATAACCAGGGGGTTGGCACGGGCCCATTAAAAGAAACCCGACGAAAAACGAATGGAAATTGACAGAGAAACTTATGTACATGGTTTATTTGTGAAAAAACGTTCCACCTCCTCACTCATGCTGATTCACGACTTGCACTAATAATACCAAATGCATAGAATATTAGTACGGGCCCATTGCAGCAAACCCGACGAGAAACGGTCAAGGACTGACAGAGATACCAATCCACTGTCAGCTCCGCGGGTGATCTGTGCGTGGGAAACGTTCTCCAGCACCTCACAGGCGTTTTAAAAATATGTAAAAATATCAAGTACTTGCGTTAATAATATTTAGAGTAGCATGCAAATTTCCAAAACATTTGGTGCAGTATCAAGCGAGATATGATAAATTAGTCCATTAAATTTCACTTGGCACCCTCAAGATCGCAAGATATCAGGTTAAGGGAATAATACACATTGTATAGGGCATTGACACGCGCCCGTTAAAAAAAACCCGAAGAGAAACGAATAGGAACTGACAGAGATACAAATCCAGTGTCAGCTCCGCGCATGATCTGTGCGTGGGAAACGGTCCCCAGCACCTTACAGATGTTTTAGAAATCTGTAAAAATACCAAGTACTTGAGCTAATACTATATAAAATAGCTCGCAAAATTTCAGGACATTTGGTGCAATATCAAGCGAGATATGATAAATTATTCCATTAAATTTCACTTGGCACCCTCAATATCGCAAAGTATCAGGTTGGGGTAATAATACACATTGTAGGAGAATTTAATACGCGCCCGTTAGAAAAAACCCGAGGAGAAACGAATAAGAACTGACAGAGATACGAATGTAGTGTCTGCTCCGCGCGTGGTCTGTGCGTGGGAAACGTCTTCCAGCGCCTCATGGCATGTCAAAAAAAATATAGAAAAATATGAAATCTTTGCGTTAATAATATATAAGATAGGACGCAAAACTATAGAACATTTGATGCAATATTCAGCGAGATATAATAGATTACCATACAGTTTGTGCATGGGAAATGAGTAAAATCGCCATAACCTCCTCAGGATCGCCGAACGACGAATCGGACTAATGATACAACATGTAAAGGACATTGAGACGCACCTATAGAAAAAAACCCGAGGAGAAACGGATGAGAACTGAGAGAGATATGAGAGATTTATGTGAAAATCACGTGCACATGTTCAGTTTAAGGAAATTCACGGGAGTAATGAGTTTAACCTCCCACAACTTTTCCGCGCACAGACATATGCGAAAAAGTACTAATACCCCCACTCAAAACCGGTTCAAACCCCCCATGGGAGCAACTCTTTTTTGCTCCCATGTGACTTTGGCATGTAAAATAGGTAGATAAATAGATAAAATAGGTAGATAGGTAAATAAAAGTAGATAAATAGGTCATAATAATCGTAAATAGTAATAATAATAATAATAATAATAATAAAATAAAAATAGTAGTAGTAGTTGTTGTTTGTTGTTGTTGTTGTATTAGTTATTTTTTTTTTTTGGTTGTTTTCGCTAATTAGTTATTAATAAATAGTAGTAGTAGCAGTTTTGCTGTTGTATTAGTTATTTCTTTTGGTTGTTTTCGCTAATTAGCATATACAATTAGATAATAATAGTAATAGTGGTGTTGTATTAGTTATGTTTGGTTATGTTTTCGAAATTGGCATGTATTATAAATGGTGGTACTGTTTTTTTCTTTGTATTTCGCTATTAGCATGTAAAATAAATAGATAAATACTAATTGAATAATTAAAATCCGGAGCAGAATCAAATGAGGGGTTCTATATAAGGTAAAATTTGAGATAATTCATGGCAACTTGGAACAACATCAAACAGAAACATCCAAAAATAATAAAACCAAGGTGTTCTGTATAAAATAAAATCTGAAAAAATTGCGGCAGTGTGGGACAACAAAGGAAAATAAATTTTATATAAAATAAAATCCAGAAAATTCACGGCAACATAGAATAAAAAGACAGAAAAATAAAAGCAAGGTGCTCTCCCTAAAATAAAATCCAAAAGAATTCATGGCAATATGGGGAACACTGTTTTATAAACTTACAAAGGAATAACAGACAAAACTTGATCAGTTGGGGTGGTGGGTTTGCAGAAATGGGCAGGAAATGAAGGAAAACAGGGCCTCACTTCCAGTGCATTGCCAAGAGGGAAAGGCATTTCTCATTCCTGTGTATGATTGGCGGTGCAGGGTTTGGGGCGCAGCCCCAAGGCTCTCCGCAGGAGTGGGGTTCGGGGCAAGGCCCTGATGGCCCTCCGCAGGAGCAGGGGTTCAAGGGGCTGGCCCCTTGGTGCATAAATAATCACCATATATCTCATTATTTCTTTAGCACATGGGGAACAATAATAAGAAGGATGTCATTGCATGGGGCGGAGCCCCGATGCCCTCCGCAGGAGCTAGAGACCGCTAAACGTGTGGGTGTGCGAGGAACGAGCACCCCACGGGTTAAAGGTCTCTAGTCTATAATGAACTGAGGTTGAATGTATGGTGTTATTCAGTTTTTGTATTGTCCTATTCAGTTTAATTAACGTAAGCAATGCAGTTCTCTGAGCCGTGGGACCTGTGTCAATGTTAACAATTGTACTAGATGACCTATCTTGGTGTAATAATAAAAGATGGAGAGGACGTTTGAGCGATTCCATTGCAAAAGACCCCATGAAAAACGGTTGAGAATTGAGGGAGATACGAGTGGTGGCCCATCCCAGCGCGAGCTGTGTGCGTGGGAAACAGTGTCCACGGCCTCATACAGGCTGTTTGACGATGCACGCCAATAATATTAAATAAGGAGGCTGTTTATACAAGCTCATTGAGAAAAACCCGACGAAAAACGAATGAGATTTGACAGAGATATGCATGTACATGTCTTTTGTGTGTGAAAAAATGTGAAAATCCGTCTTACTGCCTCATAGACCCTCATTCGCGATTGACGCCAATAATATAAGATAATAATGGCATTGTTACAAGTATGTACAAAAAAAAACGGTGAAAAACGAATGATAATTGACAGAGATACGAATGTATATACTTATTTTTGTGAAAAATTGTGAAAAACCGTTCCACTGCCTCATGAACGCTTATTCGCGACTTGCACCAATAATAGAAAATGGCCAGGGGGTTGGTACGGGCCCATTAAAAGAAACCCGACGAAAAACAAATCAAAATTGAGAGAGATACTAATGTACATGCTTTATTTGTGGAAAGATCGTGCTACTTCCTCATACACGCTGATTCACGACATGCACTAACATTACCAAATGTATAGAAAGTTAATCCGGGACCATTAAAAAAAACCCGACGGAAAGCGGTTAAGAACTGAGGGAGATACCAATCCAGTGTCAGCTCCGCGGCTGATCTGTGCGTGGGAAACGGTCCCCAGCACCCTACAGATGTTTCAAAAATATGAGAAAATATTAGGTACCTGCGTTAATACTATATAAAATGGTTCGCAAAATTTCAGGACATTTGGTGCTGTAGCAAGCGAGATATAATAAATTATTCTATTAAACTTCACTTTCCACCCTCAAAATCGCGCAATAATGAGCCGGGAAAATAATAATAATTGTAGAGAGTATTAACACGCGCCCGTTAGAACAAACCCGAAGAGAAACGAATAAGAACTGACAGAGATACAAATGTAGTGTCTGCTCTGCGCGTGGTCTGTGCGTGGGAAACGTCTTCCAGTGCCTCACCGCATGTTAAGAAAAATATGGAAAAATGTCAAAAACTTGCGTTGATAATATATAAATTAGTACGCAAATTTATAAAACATTTGGTAAAGTATCAAGCGAGATATAATAGATTACTCTACAGTTTGTGCATGGGAATGCGATAAATCGCTGTAATCTCCTCAGGATCGCCGAACGACGAGTCGGACCAATAATACAACATGTAGAGGACATTGAGACGCACCCATGAAACAAAACCCGACGAGAAACGGATGAGAACTGACAGAGATATGATAGATTTATGTAAAGAATCACGTGTGTATGTTTAGTTTGAGGAAATTCACGTGAGCAATTGAGCATAACCTCCCACAACTTTTTTCGCGCACAGACATATGCGAAAAAGTACTAATACCCCCACTCAAAACCGGTTCAAACCCCCCATGGGAGCAATTCTTTTTTGTTCCCATGTGACTTTGGCATGTAAAATAGATAGATAAATAGATAAAATAGGTAGATAGGTAAATAAAAGTAGATAAATAATCGTAAATAGTAATAAAATAATAATAACAATAAAATAAAAATAGTAGTTGTTTGTTGTTGTTGTATTAGTTTTTTTTTTTTTTTGTTGTTTTTGCTAATTAGTTATTAAATAATAATAATAATA